ATGGCCTGCTGTGTTCCTCCAGCTCCACACTGTGTTATCTCTGACTCCAGCATCGGCAGTTCTTACTATCTCCTAACGAACTAGATCATTGTTTTTACAACAATCAAACATTGCCATTGGACTAGTTATTGATTCCAGATTTTTACTGAATTCAAATTTCTCCATGGCGGCATTCGAACCTTGTTAAGAACAAAGAATAAAGAAAATTACAGCACAGGAACAGGCCCTTCAGCCCTCCAAGCCTGCACTAACATGCTGCCCATCACAACTAAAACCCCTTCTTCAGAACATTGGCCCAGGGTTCTGGATTACTAGTGACATCACCACTGCACTACCGCTTGCCCATGTGGTATTGGTGCCGACTGTGCCACAATGATTTCTTGTGTTGAGCACCGTGATCTTTACATGGTGGGCTCTAGACTGGGTGCTTGGCACTGGGAGAGTGCCTGCCATGTGCCAAAGAGGGCAACGTGAGCTGCCATGTGAGGGAAAGGGCAGAGGTGCCGTGGCTTTTCTGTCAAGGGTAAGGCTGAGCCCAAGTTCTTAATGGGTACGATCAAGGAGTCAAAGGGCACGCAGAATGGCTAGGCTTGCGCCATCTGCCTCCAGAAGGGTAGGGAGGACGTCTCAGTTGGCATTCCAGCAGATGGACTAATGCACCCCTGAACATCACCCGTACAAATAGTTTTATCCAATGTATCTCTTTAACATACAGGCAACTTTGATGCCAGTGTCGTCTTTATGGATCAGTTAGAAAATTGATTAGTGTGCTCTGTATAAACTACTCAAAAGGTGGAACATAGTTAATTCAGCAAAACTAAAACAAACAAAAGGCTAATTATTCTGCTGTAGAGAGAGCACAGATTCACCCTGGAGTGTAACAAAGCAGGAACGATGATTAATTTGTTGCAGGAGACTTTACTTACTCTGAGCTGGAGTGACAGGGAATGAATTGAAGAGTCAGACCAATTGTCCCATTCATTCTGCATTCTTCAACAGAATATCATATTAAATATCATCAATGGAACTCTTCAATCGTACTAGCCATAAGTTCTCAATACTTAGACACCATATTGCATCTCTTCTAAAGCACAGAAACTAGGAGCAGGGGTAGGCCATTTGGCCTTCGTGTCTGTTCTGTCATTCAACATTATTCTGACTGATTCTCTATCTCAATACTGTATTTGCGCTTTCTCCCCATACCCCTTAATGGCATTTAAAATCTAAAAATGTATTTCTTGCTTCAGCAACTTGGCCTTCACAGCCTTCTGTGGTAGACAATTCCATAGGTTCACTACTCTTTGAGCGAAGTATGCCGACGCTGTAGTTTTAAGAGGTGTCTTTTGTCCTGGGTTCTTTTAGAGAGATTGGGTGACTGGTAGTGAGCTGTCTATGAGAAGATAAACAACTGGTGAATCCTGAGGTTTTTTCTTCAGAAGCTGGAACAATAGAAGCAGCCTGAATGGGTGTGGTCAATCTCCGACACATAAAACCAGGGATTTTTAGTTTTTAGGTTTCAGCAGCAATTGCTGTTAGGGTGTTGAAGATGTGGAAGCTACTTTCCCCCTCTCTCGTTAACATCCAAAACCTGGGGTTCTCTTCCTAGGCTGCTGGATTGCATGTAAGACGGATCTGTTTTCTAAATTTGCCTTTTGTCTGGTGTGAGTTTATGGGACGTTACATATTGGAACAGTTACTGTTTAGTAGTAAAATAATCTATTATTCTGCTAAATTTTCCATTAGACTTGTTATTCTAAATTCTTCTTTCTTTTGTTGTATTTTAACTATAGCGTTTGACTGAATAAGAGGCAGAGTCCAGTTCAATCATATGGCACAGCTCCCAAAACAAGCAAACATAATCTGTCTGTCTCACTTTATTCATTCTATCATGGGATGCGGACCTTGTCCAGCATTTGTTGCCCAGCCCTACATGTCCTTGAACCAATTGTCTCTCTAAATCATTTCAGAAGGCAACTCAGAGTTGATCAACAAGATAGCAGATATCTCACCCCAAAGGGGGCATTACTGCCCCCAAGAGGGCTTTTGTGAACAAAATGACTCTTTTATATGGGTGGAGAGGGCAGGTTGGAGGTGGGGGAGGGGGAGATTGGGGGTGTGGAGATGTCAGCTCGAAGATGGGCATCCAATCTGAAAGTGTCTGGTCACGTTTGGGATGGGGGGGTGGGGGGAGGAATATAATTACAGAATTCCCAGAGTGGGGAAACAGGTCATTCAGGCCATCAAGCCCACACTGACCTTCTACAGAGCATCCCACCCAGACCTATGGGCGATCCTATCCCCAGAACCCCACATTTCCCCACGGCCGATTCACCTACCCTGCACATCTTTGGACTGTGGGAGGAAACTGGAGCACCCAGAGGAAACCTACGCAGACACAGGGAGAATGTGCGAACCCCACACAGTCGCCCGAGGCTGGGTTCATACCCGGATCCCTGGCGCTGTGAGGCAGCAATGGTAACCACTGAGCCACTGTGCTACCCCGAGGGGTAGGAATAAGGATGAGTAGTAATTCAGGATTGAGTGAATTGATTTCTCAGGAGTTTTACTACGGAGCTGAACTGAGTCGGAAACCCTCCAACATTTCTCATCTCACATCTTATCACACGTCCATTTACCAGGTAGATCAGTAAGGGATTCTACACAGTCCAGAGCATGCAATTCCAATCTGCACTGTGACTATCTGGATACTGGAATATCTGGGCCGAATATTTAAATGGGATAGTGGAACACAACGTGTACAGAGACAAGGGCCACCAAACGTAGCAACATGGATCACAGCTGCAGAAAACAAAGCAACTGGGGTTCCTTCCTAGAGGATATAAAATTATAGGAAATATGTCAAACTGGAAGCATGGCTAGATCAAATCTGGAGTACCATAAACTGCTCTGCTTTCATATTATTAAAAACATATTGAGACATTGGAGAAGGTACAAAAAAGATTTACCAGAGCAATACAAGAGCCAAGAGATCAAACCAATCAAGAGGATTAACAGAGATAGTAGGAACTGCAGATGCTGGAGCATCTGAGATAACAAGGTGTAAAGCTGGATGAACACAGCAGGCCAAGCAGCATCAGAGGAGCAGGGAGGCTGACGTTTTAGGCCTAGGCCCTTCTTTAGAAAACCATTTTCTGAAGAAGGGTCTAGGCCCGAAACGTCAGCCTTCCTGCTCCTCTGCTAAGAGGATTAACAGAGCCAGGTTCTTTTCTCTGGAGATGGGAAAGCCAACAGCTGGACTAATGGAAGTTTTCAAGACTATTAAAGAATTTGATAAGACGTAGGAGCAAAGCATAGATAAGAGATACATAGAGAAAACATTTTCACTTATGGATGGGACTAGAACCAGTAGAACAAAGGGAGTGACTAATAAATCTAATTGGAAATTCCAGAAAAACTTCTCCACTCAGAGAGAGTGATGAGAATGGGGAACTCAGTGCCACAGGAAGTTGTTGATGGGAATAGGATAGCATCACTTAAGAGGAAGCTAGATAAAGACATGCGGGAGGAGTAACAGGAAATGTTGACAGGCTGAGATGAAGAAGAGGTGTAAAGGGTGGCTCATGCGATGTATAAACACCAATATGAACTTGAAGGGGTGAACTCAGAATTACTTAGAAGCATTTAGCAATTCACAAGGGGGATAAAGCATGTGGTAATGTCCATTTTTGCAGCTACTTTTTCCTGAAAACAGGTCACCGGCCTGTCAGAAGAAACGTGGCTGGCCAGGCATTCTCTCCCAACCTTACCATCCTGAGACGATTTACCAGCATGTTAATCGATTTGTTAAGATTGTGTTTTGAGCACACCTTCCTTGGCCATCAAGTCCTGAAGGAGGACCTGAACCCAGAACTTCTAGCTCAGAGGCTGGAACACTGGTCACTGCACCACAGGACCTCCTGAATGACCTGCTTCTCCACTGACAATACTTTATAACTTTGACCACATCGTGGCTAGTTCGCCACATCCCTTACAATTTACAAACTGCGACTTGATCATTTTCTGGAGTGCTGTAATGGAGCTGATTTCACAGTCCACAGGGTCTGATTGTATCCACGGATGTGAACACCTGCAAGATCAATCAAGCACATCCTTTACCTCAACCCTGTCAGAAAGAACCTGCTGCAGAAACATTGCGCACTGCCTTGAATCTCTAGTGAAACTTCTTAACGTGCCATTTCCTAAACATATCCAACCTTCCTCCATCTAACGCGCAATGACGCACTCGGTCTCATTTAAACGTGACATTCTGGCTTCGCATCAGAGAAAGAGACTTCGGACAAACTCTCCAAGACTTCAGGGGCTCCCCATCACTGTGGAAGAGCGATTAATTTTTGCACAGCTTTGCGGCTTGTGTGGGGTTAACATAGTGACCGTCGGCCTGGCCTTTCAGCAGATTAATATCGGCCCTAGTGGCATGAGGGATGTCAAGGGGTCAGTCTACTTTCAAGGCCACCCCGAGAGATGCCACACCGTTTTTTGGTGGGGGTACGGGGAGGCGGTACCCGAGCACTGAACATACCCGCTCCGTTCTCTTTGCAGCTTTGCCGGATCTTCCGTCTGCACACGTATCCCAGGGTGACCAGCAGCCCCAGCAGACACACCGAGAGGCCTATCGTCAACCATAAGGCAACCACGGGGAACTTCAGGTGCTGCCCTGGAGGTGGGGAAAGAAAGACACAGAAAGGAAATCAGTGAGTACCAGAAGCTGAGATGAGACAGAGGGGCTTAGTGACAGCTTTCCTCGCTGAGTTGGTGTAGCTGACAACCCACATTTGATTCCTCATCCAAGTATTCCTCTAACTTGTACAGAAGGTTATGCTGTTACTGTTGGATTCAGAGAAGTGAGAGGAAATCTGTCTGGAGCACAAATGGACCAGCCACAGTGAATATTCCTCTGTGCTGCAGAGTTAGGAGAACCCTTTTCCCCAGTGACGCTCCTGGAGTTGATGTGATTTTCTGGCTTATTTATTTCTCTCCTCAACTTCTGCTCTAGTCTCCCAAACACCAGAGATATTGATTTCTGGTGGACTGATTCCCCTCCTGCATCTCACCAAAATAGCCACTGCACATTAGGGCCAATGGGATCAGCTGGGAGCTCTGTTAGCAAGTCTGCAGACGACATACCATTGCCTGAGGAGTTGATAATGAAGTGGGTGAGCTATCAACTGCAGGAATGTATCAATGATTTGGTTGAGTGGGCAGAAAAATTACATATAGAATTCAATCTGGAGAAGTGAGAGGTTGTGCATTTCCGAAGGGCAAACAAAGCAAATGAATACACAACAAACTGGAGGGTATTGAGGGGGCAGAGGAAGAGAGGGACTTGAGTGCATGTCCCTCGAGGTGGTACTGCATGTCAACACAGAGATAGAGAAGGCATATGGGATGCTCCACTTTACTGGAGCAGGAATGTAATGCTGGAAATATATAAGACACTGGTTAGGTTGCAGAAGTAGTTTTGTATACAGAAATGAGGAGGGATTGGATGGACAAAGGTTATTTTTGTTAGAAAAAGGAGACTGAGGGTTGACCTAAATCGAGATGTACAAAATAACGAGGGGCTTGGAGAAAATGTGCAGTGAACTCGTGTTTCTCCTAGCAGAGACCTGAATTACCAGGGGCACAGATTTAAGGTGGTTAGTAGAAGGGTGACAGGAAAGACGAGGAAAATCCCTTCATCTGTAAGGTTGTGGGTGTCTGGAAATCACAGGTTGATGGTTGAGGCAGAGACCCTCAAACCACGTAAAAGAAATCTGGATTAGCACCTGATTCATTGTGACTTTAAAGATCTATTGGGGAGCCAATGGCCCAGTGAAATTATCACTAGGCTATTAATCCAGAAACTCAGCTCATGCCCTGGAGACAAGGGCTTGAATCCCGCCATGGCAGCTGATGGAATTTGAATTCAATTTTTAAAAAATTAGGAATCTATTGATAACCAACTGTTGGAAACTCTGGTTTACTAATTTAGGGAAGGGAGCTGCGATCCTTACCTGGTCGGGCCTAAATGTGACTCCAGACCCACTAACTGCCCTAATGCTGGCCTAGTGAGAGATGCCCATATCTTGTGAATGAATAAATAAAAAAAGTCTACAGAGCAGGTGCTAGAAAGTGGGATTAGAATGGGCAGCTAGTTTATTCACCTGGCATAGATAAAATAGACTGAATGGCCTCCTGCTGTGCAGTAACTATTCTACAGTCCTAACTTATCATATAGCATGACCTTGTGACAAATGAAGTTAGCAACACCGGTTACACTTTCCTGTTCCATAGGCATCTCATAAAATGAAAGGGGTCAGTTAGCTCAGGTTGCTGGATGGCTGGTTTTCAATATAGAGTAACACCAACAGTGTGGGTTCAATTCCTGCACCAGCTGAGGTTACCATGAAGGACTCTCCTTCTCAACCTCTTCCCTCAAGAGGTGTGGTGACCCTCAGGTTAAACCACCACCAGTTGTCTCCGTCTCTCTCTTGCTCGCGCTCTCTCATGGGACAACAGCCCAACAATCTAGAAGGACTATTGTGACTTTAGCTCTACGTTACATAAATTACACTTTGGATCATGTGAATGGGAAAAGGAGGAAAATTCCACAAATGATAGTGACAGAGCTCTCTGCTTCCATTAGTGTCATGAGAGTTCCCAGTGCTACAGGAGCAATAGGTAGTCTCGCAGTTGGTTCAAAAGATGGCACTGTCAACAAAGCAGCACTCCCTCAATGTTAATGAAGTATCATATACCCAACCCCAAAAAAACAGGCAAATAACCCACCCTCCCAACAATATATTCCTTCTTCCCTCATGCAAACATTTCCTCTAAGGATTAACTTTTCATTCCTTGATTACTGCTGGCCATACGTTTAGAAGCTGAGGTTCAATTCCCTCCATAAATATTATGCGTCTCTCTGTCTTCCTCTCCTTTGTTAGGCTCTGTAAAATCTAACCCTCTGTTTTATTTGCCCACGTATGTGTTTGTTGCATGGCCAAGAGTCGAATAGCCCTCTTGTGAAGCGCCCTGGGATGCTTTCCCACATAGAGGTTTCTATACAAATGCAAGTTGTTGTTGAAGTACAAGACTGCAGATGTGAAACAAGCCAATGCTGAAGCAGCTGAGAAACATTCAAGCATTTTGTTCTAGGAACGACAGAACTATATGAAAAATGACTTGTAATCACGAAAACGTACTGGAACAGGATCGTAGGGTGGACCTGCTACATGCTGCCCCTAGAGGCATACGTCAAGACAGGGCAGTCCCTCCATTGTGGCATTTGGCTTGTATGGCAGCAATTGTGCCTTTCACTGGTCTCCGACACACAGGGGCACATAAATAATAGCAGATTGTGCATGGGTGTCTGCTGTTCTGTATTAATCAAGCTGGAGCTCTCCCTAAGCAAATCAGGCACAATGCCATCCTGTACAAATGCTTGAGCAATTCATTTAAAATCTCAATGTCAAACCTTTTAAAAAATTATTGGTGCCTCTAATAGCAAAAAAAGACTGCACAGTAAACTGGGATTCTTTTTCAAATCCTACACCACAACTGTGCTGAAGTTGCAGATAACCGTGGGAAATCAATCTTGCAGAACAGGATTCCAATTTCCAATACAGCAACTTTCACCTTTAGAAGTTTCCCAAAGAGCCAAACAATTGTTCTGTTGCAGCAAAGGGGATTTTGACCGATGTTACAATCAATTTGAAGTCCATGTTGGGAGTCAATGTGTGCTGAAGGAATCCCCAGTCAAGAGACTGGAAGGACCCAAAGAATACATAAGCTTTTTAAAGCTGCTCAATGTTGTAATGAATGATTTTATTGTCACACAGTGAGGAAAATAGAGTGATAAGCGGTCTGTCACCACAATCTGGTGCAAATTTGAGTTGCAAAAACAATAAAAAGAAAATAAATTAATTAAATAAGAGTTCACTTTCTGTTCAAATTGGGTCTCAAGCATGACTTGAGGGCTTTGGAAGGTCTCTGCAAGGTGTTCCAGGCTTCAAGAAGTTTCTGCTTCGGGTAAAACAACGTTGACACCAATGTCCTAGGATAACCCTTACCGATACCACCAAGAGTCCCCGCTCCGGGCCTACCGCAGCCAGGGCTCCCCGCTCCAGGCCTACCGCAGCCAGGAGTGCCCGCTCCGGGCCTACCGCAGCCAGGGCTCCCCGCTCCGGGCCTACCGCAGCCAGGGCTCCCCGCTGCAGGCACGGCCACCAAGCAGCTGACGCCTCTCCACTGTAACATCTGCACAAAAAAAACAGGAGGATGCCACTTAGCCCTTCAATCTTTTTCACCAGCCAATGAGATCAGGGCTGATCATGGACCAACTCCATAGAACTGTCTTTGACACAAATCCCTTCATTCCTTTTCATTTATAAAAGAAAGTACAAATCGGAAATTTCAAATTAACAATTGATCTGGCATCAACTGATGCTTGGAGAAAGGTGTTTCAAATTTTTCCACCCTTTGTATTGTTGTATTTCCTAATTTCACTTCTAAAAGAACTGGCTCTAAATTTTTTTAGTCCGTGCCCCTCATCCCAAACATCCCTGTGTTCCAGACCAGACAGACTTGTACCTATTAAGACAGTTATAGGACATTGTGTCATATAGCTTTGCAGGATTAAGGATACCAGCCTTGTCCTCAGTCACTCTCTCTGACTGAAAATCTCCATTGAGTCCATTGCGCAGTCATTTATAAGACCGTAAGAAATAGGAACCAGGAGCAGACCACTCAGCCCCTGGAGCCCGCTCTGCCATTCAATAGGATCATCGCTGATCTAACATCCCTCACGTCCACTTTCCTGTCTTTTCCCCGTAACCCTGGATTCCCCGACTGATCGAAAATCTACTTATCTCAGCCCTACATATGCAGCGGACTCTGCCTCCACAGCTCTATATGGCCAGGACTCACACCCTCGGACAGAAGAAATTCCTCCTCATCTCAATCTTAAATTGGTACCTCTTTACTCTGAGACTATGCCCTCTTGTCCGAGAATGGACATTATGTTCATGTACCAGACAGTAACACCAGTAAACACACAGACTGTGCACGTAGATCCGTGATATTGGAACTGTCTAGTCAGTATTATTAAATTTCAGGAAATCCATCTCAATAAGAACCTGGCTCTCTGCAGTACATGTCATGTGGACTGAAAGGTGGAAAACCACTTTGTAGCACATCACCCTCAAACAGCAGAAATTGTTTCTCCCAACCTAAAAAATTGGTTCCACTTAATATCTTGAATTAAGTTATCAAAACAACCCGTAATCTTCTAGAAATAGTAAGAACTACCGATGCTGGAGTCAGAGATAACACAGTGTGGAGCTGGATGAACACAGCAGGCCAGGCAGCATCAGAGGAGCAGGAAAGCTGACATTTCGGATTGGAAGCATTCTTCAGAACCCTTTTTCTGAAGAAGGGTCCCGACCCGAAACATCAACTTTCCTGCTCCTCTGATGTGTTCCTCCAGCTCCACACTGTGTTATCTCTGTAATCTTCTAAATACTTCCATTCAGTTAGAATCAACAGAGAGCTCCTTGTCCTCTTTTTTCATTATCCTTGCCCAGAATGTGGGCTTCACTGGCAGGACCAGCATTTGTTGCCCATCCCAAATTGCCCTGGAGCTGAGTGACTTTCTCATACATTTCAGAGGGCACGGTC